ATGAAAAATTGCTTTCCGTCAGCTCGAGGCTGGTGATTAAATTCGATATGCTTGGTTCTGCAGAAATACCTCCGAAAATTCGCGACATACGGTTTTATCTTATTTCACATAAGAATTTGTCATCTACACCTGACAAGCAGAGCATTTCAAATGAAAAACCAGTTGCCCATGTTCCAGAGATTTTAGATGTAATCAATCATGCATCAGCAGTGGGTTGTTGAAAATCTAACCACAAAGGATTACATATTTCGGAAATGAATCATTGGACACAATATTATGCTGGGTTATTTTCGTGTTGCTGGATCAGGCTTAAAGCTCAAATCATCTTTCTTCTTTTAGAAAAAAAATAACAGAAATTCCCAAAAAACACATACAGAGTTTTCTTGCACAGAATTATTTGCATATATCACCCCTGCAAAAGAAAATGAGTTGGGTTGGGACCAGAGTTCTGTAACCGAAGATCTAGTGACCAATGAGAAGTGCAAGTTTTTTCTTTGATTTACTGTACAGTATATAGTGATGGATATAGTGGACTTTTGGGACCGGTTTATTTTGGGTGATCTTTGTTTCTGGTTCTTCCAGGGTTGTTTGGCTGGGTTGTTTCTGTTTTTCAGTTCTTCTTCTTGTTTTTTTATCCATTTGCGCCAGCATGTGTCTCTGTGCTGGGTAACCTAATATTGCTACGGTCAACCTGCAATAGTATCAGCAGTGGTTGATTGTTTTTTCGATGATTGTTTTTTCGATGTTGCTGTCTGGAAGAACGAAAATTGGACTGAAATTATCTGAAAATAAAATTGTGGTAGAAGGCATGTGAAGAAAAATCGAACTGGCTATACCCTATGGTGGTTGACATCAACTTCAGAGGTTCAACAGGAACAAACCAGTGCTGTGATTTGAGTTTCCCAGTTATTGATGATGTGGTCTAGAAATGCACCCTGGCGCATTGTGTTCTGTTATTGAGGCTGCAGGTTTTTGCCTAGATTGGTGCACTCTGGAGAAGCTCAAAAATGCAGTGAGACCCCCACATGTGGACACCTTGACCTGCAGAAAATTTGGCATAGGGACACTTATTTCAACATAAAAAACAGTAATAAAGGCCCAACATGAGGACACTGACTCAACATAGGGACATTTTGTGATGAAATTGCAAATTCATTGCAGGCAAGATTACAAGAAACAGATACTGTATTTCCAACCCTAAAATTGATGCAAGAAAATTTCTTCAGCATTTCTCTTACCAATGTACCATCCATTTAGCAAATTTTAAAAGAATTACCTCCAGAAAAGAGAGACTTCCTTCTCTCTATTTCAATTGAATATTATTTTTACAGAGAAGGCCAAAATTTCCATGTTCTGTACAGAGGTGTCAGTTTTCATTTCCCCAAATGCCCATATTGTGTTGAAATATATTGCTTGGAATCAGTTTAAATTGGGATAACATTTTTCATTTCATGGATTTATGGTGAGTATTTTGTATATAAAACACTGATTGAAAATTATATAATGTAAGTTTATGGGAAAATGAGACTTGACTTGGGGACATTTCAACTTAGGGACACTCTTGATGCACCTGTTACATCCACATCTCCGGGTCTCACTTACAGGAATCCATCCCAAAGCAAGTTGCCATCTTACCCTCCACCAATTGTTGTGTCTTCATTGCTTGTTGGGGGTGGAGGTTATAGTGTGTGTGATTGGAAAAGATGCTTGGAAAGTACTGCACAGTGCCAAGCAGGCAGCTTTGGTCTCAGGGAAGGAGATGTGCTGAAAGTTGTATCTTTTTCTCCGCGTGCAGGAATGACGACATTCGCGGACTTGGTCGGCGCCGCGTCGGCCGTGGCTGGAGTCCTGCTCAACGGCTACGTCATCCTCGTCCTGGCCTGCACTCGTCAGCAGCAGGTGAGCACCAGGCACGAATAAATAAAGAGATTGCCTCGTTCCGTCAATGTCGGGTATCATTATTCTCGTGGGCGTGAGCCAGGACTCAGGATGTAAACTCCATCCGTCTTGACAAATGCTTGCAGAAATGGCTGCGCATGCAGGATACGCTCCATCAGAACCATCAAATGGTTCACCTCAGTACAGTGAGACCCCAAGATGCAGACATAATCGGTGCTTCATAAGTGTCCATAAGTTGAATTGTCCCTAAGTTGAGTCTTTTTTTTCCCGTAGACTAACATTATACACATTTTATTTGGTGTTCTATGGAATAAATATTCTTCAAAATTTCTGGAGAATTTTTTTGCCACTTGAATTTTAATTAGTGAATACAGTTTCAACTTGATACAAGTACATTTTGAGCATTGAATGGTGTATCTCTTTACTGTACACTGAAATGTTGGCATCTACAAAAATAGCATTCAAGTGACAAAAAAGGCATGGGTCCCTCTATGCTGAAGGTAATTTTTAAAAACTAGCTAAATGGATGGTAAATTGGTGAGAGAAACGCCCAAGAACTTTTCTAACATCAATTTCAGGGTTGGAAATATCTATTTCTTGTAACTTGGCCTAAAATGTATTTGCAATTTTATCACAAAATTTCTGTATTTTGAGTCAGTGACCTCATCTCAGGCCTTTTTATTATTTCTTTCTAGGAAAATAAGTGTCCCTATGTTGAATTGTCCGCAGGTTGAGGTGTCCGCATTTGGGGGTTTCACTGTATATCCATCAGAAGGATGTTCCATGTTTTCTTTCCACTTTTGCCTGATGTCTGCAGGAAAACAAAATCAAAATTCAGTAGTGCTTCGATCGCTCGTTTTTTTATTCACCATGAATTTGCACAACTCTGCCCCTGCAAAAAAAAAGAAACAGAAGGAGTGGCATGTAGTGTCATGATAAGCCATTTTGCTTGAACCTCCGTCCATCAAAATCAGTTATTACTAAGACAGTCATTTCCAAATGTTGGCTGACTTCATATGAATCATGGAGTAAATATGGAAGTTCTTCATCTGTGCAGTTTGAAGAAGATTGCATTGATATTCGTGGTCGAATCGTCGAAAATTATGCGGTACACGTGCCCCAAAATGTGTTTAGGATCAATGCGCATGAATAACAGATTCCCTCCTAATTGACATGGTACACAATGTCATAGGGTATGAATAATTGCGAATGGTTTCCCACCGAAACATGCTAACAAACAGTACTGTATTTTTCAACCTTCTCAGGTCCAAGGAGTAGCAAATTTTCATAAAATATTTTGCAGACCAGCAAATTTCCCAAACACATTCTGCAGGACAGCAAACTTTCATACAATTTTTGCAAACTTGAAAAGGTTTAGCTTGGAAGACTTTATGGCAGGCATTATACAAGTTCCTGATTTTTTGACAAGATTAAGAACCAAAAAAGCAACAACAATGAAATGACATCTAAAATTTGAAAGGTGGGCTTTCTGTATGTCACACAGTGATTAGAAAGTTGGGCTTTCTAATTTCATTAAAAAGATATAGAAAGGTATAGTCATTTCATCTAATAACTTGATAGGGAGTAATGGGAAAAATGGGAAGTGTTCTCAGGATAAATAGTTATTGCAATTATTTTCAGCATGCAAGTTAAAATTTATCTTGATCATTATTCAAAGAAAAGCCATCTTTTATTTTCCCTTGAGATGATTTCCACAGCCATTGTCATTCCAAAATTTCAGTTGAACGTGACAGGCTCCGTTTTTTATAAATTTGTCATGCTGCAGAAACTTTTCAAAAGGACCGTCAGAAAACTTTGGTCCGATGACCACGGGTTGAGGAACACTGTGCTAACAGGTCAAGTGAGAAAATAAATTGTATAATTAGCAAAAACCACAAGATTTTGTGACGCTGGTGTTATGAATAATACTGTATTCTGAAACATAGTACAGTATCTCTTGAAGTAGACGAAAACATTTGCTTTAAAACCACCGTACTGTACTTGCTTGTTTCAACCAACTGCCATGAGTTAGAGATGCATTTGTCACACAACTTCCACAACTGTGCTCTGGTCAATGAGTTGGGGGACTCATTATTTATCAAGGACCAATACATAGGAGTAAAATAGGCGTCTATACACTACAAAAGTTGGTCAAGGTTCAGAATGAAAACAACGTCACGATCTCGAAGGCGATTCTATTTTTCTTGCCTGGAGAAAGGAAATAAGGAAGGAGCATGAGCGGAAGTAACGTTGTGTAGTGCTCAGAATAGCCTTTGATGAGATCACATCAAGTGAAGGCGGAGAATGCAAACATTTAGAAGACCACCCATAGCCGGAAGATTCACCACTATACCTAAATACAAGAAGTGTGCTGGATAATTTGGAGTAAGGTCTTTATCAGCAAGACGAATGACCGGCATGCATTAGCCACGCCACTGCATTACAGTACAGTACAGTACAGTGTATATGACCGAGTCTGGTCACGTACATATTTACAGCGATGCACGGTGGCGTAGGCCAAGTATAACACGGTACTCATGTACAATAGAAGAGCTAGCTCACCTACAATAAATGTTGCGGCTCCCGAAAAATAAAGTCCACACAATTCCCGGCATTTGATGGCACAACTTCCAACTTGCAAAACATTCAATCGTGCACCAATTTTCAAGTTGAAAAATCATTTGTGGTCTCAAACTAATTTCTGTGCCTCTTTTCGTAGACCTTGAGTTAAATTCATTTTCGTGAAAGTAACTTTTCTTTGGTGATTCGAGTCTCAAAGTTATATACTCGAAAACCTTCACCCTGAATGATTTTAATCATGCTAAAATACAGCTCTTACTAGTGTGGCAAAATGTGAAAAAAACGGTAACTTCATGAGTATACGTACAAGCGGTTACACGTTTTTACGCCAGCTCGATTACATCTTGAGCTCTGGGTCAGTTCGGACCTTTTCTCAGTTTGGAGTGACCTTTTCCGTCTCCCTGCTCCATTACTGATGGAGCATTTCCGCGGCCTTGACAGAGAGAGAAAGAGAGGACGAGAGTTTATTGGAACTGCCATTCGCTTCAACTTTTGTCCCAGAAAATTTATTTTGCAAGTGGCTATATTGTAGGAAATTACTCTTGTCCACAGAAAAGTTGTAGCAAATGACGATTGGAAAATCTCTCATAGTCAGGGCCACGCAAAAGCTGCGGTAAACTGGTACGACATCACCAGGGTTGTTAATTGCAACCAAAACTATACTTGCACAATTGCAATCACAATCCAGCACAAAAATTACCCAAAAATTAAAATTGCAATCGCAAGGCACTGATGTTTTACATCCACAACTGCAATCACAATGCATTTCTGTTTTTTCTTTTTTTGCCCAATCGCAATCGCAAGGGTTATCACAAATCTTTTCCTGATTTCCATCCTGTGCTTTTCACATTTAGTGTAATCATCCCCGATTAATCTCAAATTATTTCCGAATTATCAATCTTGTGAAAGTATGGAGAGAATGACAAAGAAAATCTAATCAAAACCAAACTTTCCCATCATAGGGACGTCATCTTTTCTTATTCCATTTAGATTCTCAGTAGACAAAAAACGGAATAAATCTGCTTTGATAAAAGAGTAAAGTACCAAACATTATGAGTAAAGATAATAGCTTTTCAGAAGTATTGCCCAAACTCTTTCATCCAAGTGCAATGACCAATACAAGGAATATTATAAGCTTCTTTCTGTGCCAACCTGTCTTCAGTTGAAGATATAAAAATCAATATATCCTCTTCCATCTAGCAACTTACACAGTTAATGAAAAAGTTCATCTTTTTTCATTGATTGTTGATCATGGTTCAAATCAATTGCCCCAAGAAAAATGCATTCACTGCTGAAGTTATTTGGTACAGTAAGACTATCTAGTCTCTACACACACAATCAGGCGCTGGCCTTCTTGGATTAACACTTACACTGAGTCGAACACAACGGTAGCGGTTTATTGCACTCACTCGGGTAGCGGATTATAGTTATGACAAATACACAGTACGCACGATGAAAGGCACTGCTTCGGTTGACGACCGCTCGGTTCGGGAGCTATAGACAAAGTGAGGCTCTACCAGGCCTCAGGGGTACGGGCGCGAGTCGGTTGACGCAAGCGCGCGCGTACATTGC